GCGCATCTGCGTATATCGGTATGACATCTCGCAAATTTTATACTAGGCTGGCGGAGCATAAAGGAAGGAGTTTTAGAACAGGAAACCTGCTTGCGCATCCCCCTCATTCAGCAGTGCGCGCCCATGCCGAGCAGTGCAACGTGCCAGTGTCTGATAGTGATTTTCGAATTTCACCCTCCATGACCGGTGTTTCCGACCTGCGAATTTTAGAGTCCCTTTATATTTTCAAACAAAAGCCTATTTAAATGCCGCCAACAGTTCATATCCCCTCGAAATTGTAAATAAATAGGTTTGTGCCCGTGTTTGCTTCATTCTTGTTTCTCATTTGACGATTTATGCTTCAATGTGAATTTATTGCTAATTGTTTATACCTATAGTTTTAGGTTTTGAACTGATGATGGAGCTGGTCCCCGAAACTTTTTCCTTTTTAAGAAATGGTGAATTTTCTGGCTATATATTTGCTTTTAAATTTTTGACAAAAACTAGAGTTGCTATCCTCCTAGCAGACTGGGATATCAAGCAGCCGTGGAGTTGGAGATTACAGTCGAAAATTTGTTGCATACTTCACATGTTGAGTGCATTGAAGAGTTGATAGCATTAGCATGTTAAGTAGGTCAGATGCTCCAACAATACTGTTCAATTGTTCTATGAATAAGTAGCTGTTATACAGCTTGACATCTTACCGCGTTGCTTATATAAATTTCTACAGCTGTATCAATCTCGAATTATATACACTCTAAATAAACACATGTTCATTGATTTCGAATGAATTTCAAGCACACTTTTGTTAGTTTTGGGTTATCAAATGTTTTAATTTGAAACGACGTAACTCAATAACATTGAGTAACGATATAATAATAATGGTGCATAAAACAAGTAGGAAATTTGATTAAAAAATTATAGATTAGCCCGGTTCAAAGAAATTATTATTATTCAAATTGTTAAAGTGAAAGTCAGATAGCAATCATGATCTGCAAATGCACTATAACATCATTAACCACTCATTGCAGAAAAATGTTCTTCCAAACGTTTCTAACTGCAAGTCTCAATTTGAAATTAGGTCTCCTCAATTAAAAAACTAATAAGTCAATGTTTGCGGTACATTCTTACATAAAAGTATCGAAACGGAAAGATCTGTGAATAATACAATCAAGAGCTGACTTCTAGTGGTAAAAGATGGCAATAAACACGAGTGGTCTGGCTTCAGTAGAAGGTGTTCAAGATGTTCAAGATGTTCAAGATGAAATGCTTGAACAAATTTACAATCATTTACTTTCTTCTCTATTAAAATAATTATCATTATTGTCAATATCATCGTTTGAGAGCATTTAATTTCTCCTCAAGATTTTCTTATTGATTAATGATTATATTAACTGGAATGTTCAATTTCGCGTTATTGAGAAAGATAACATCATGTAATATAGGAACTTGTATTTCATAAATTTATACCTGAATATACGAATTTTTGTGTAATGTGGTACGGGAACTGACATACTAGAAATGTTGCACAATGTTGCAATATTCGCCGTATCTGTGCAAAAAAACAAAGCTCAAGGTAATTTAGTTTGCTGTACTGATGAATTCAAACTACCAGTAAACAATATGTAGTTTTTTTCCTTTGCTAAAGTTACACTCCGATCCTCTTCGTAAAAAAATATAATCGTATTAACAACAACGAAATTAAAAATCCAAAAGTATTCTATAATATATGCGTTATTCATATAAATCAATGAAGAAACGATCGAAGACTAGTTATAGGCTCTAAATTTTCTACGAACTATTTTCTCAATTGTATTAACAAACGAGAAAAATTGTATTCATGAGTCAAAATACTGTAATCAATAGTAAAAATAGGTTTGAATCAATCAGTGGCTTTTTGACAACAAGTAAGAGCAAAGTTCTGCCACATTATAAATAATGGTTCAGCCTATGGCGTTATCAACTGATTATTCCTACTACATCTAAAAGTTTTGAAACAAAAATTCGTAGAGCATTGAAAAATGGAATAATGTGGATAAAAATATAAAAAAATGCAAAATTAAGCGAGCGTAAAAATTAGCTAATTAATTAATTAGCTAACCACATAATTAACGGTGACTGAAGTTCGTAGGCGCGCCAAGCGCGACCAGTTGCCACCCCTTTAGAGGACCATCCCAACTCAGTTTTGTCCGGCTTAAGGACTTAACAGTGCTACATTGCAGAAATTGTGTCACTATTTGTACAATATGACCAATATGACCTATTCATTTTGTATGGACAATAGAATTTGCCTGTTTATGACGGGCCTCTAAAGACGGGGAAACTGTTAGATCAAATCAATTAGAATTTACGCATTAATTTTTCTTACCAAAATAACTCCTGAAATAGGAAATATGTTATTAATTTTTTAGAAAATAACGATATAAGTCCTAGAAGACGTAAAGCTGACTTGCTCACATCCAGTGATTCTTCCAAACATTGATTTTAAGTATAAGATGTGTAAAATTTATTCCCTCAACGCAAATTTAAACGAAAAATTACACAAAATATAAAAATAGCATTTGTATTTTCGTTAGAGTAAAGCTGGCGAGTATAATTCGGATTTTCGTGTTTTCCAATGCGTAGTAAAGCCTGATGTAAGTACTTCACAGTACTGTTTCTATTGTAGCCTAATTCTTATCACTAGTTGCAAATAATTTATAGGTACAGGAAATCCACATTAAAATTGTCAGTCAATTTGAATGAGTGTATATTGCTAATGAAATAACCGTAAACAGTGTAAGATATAATTTCCATTAAATAACAAAAGAAAACGAACGTGAGTCTATTGCAAACGATTTACTAACGACGAACAACTAGACAATATATCTCATGAACCTAATTATTTATTGACTGATTTACGTCCAGTCTTTTAAACTGATTCATTAGTCCACATTAGTCATATTCTCTTTTATCTCAGGAGTCATGAAGCACCTTAAGCTACTATAATAAGCACCTGGAACATTCATTATATTTCCCAGACGCTACAGAAGACGCATTGCAGCTGAGGCAAGGTAATTTTAGGCGCCTGGACAGGCAAGAAGTCTCTAGAAAAGCGAATAAAAAATGCGCTAAAATTCGTCTTACTCTTAGATAGTTTCAAAGGAATATAGTTGAAATATCGTGATTACTAAGGGAAACTAATGTTAGTAAGTAGTAAACATCCATCGCGTAGTCACAGTTGAAGTAGGGTTATGTCCAAGCTCTTTGCAAAACAATGCCTGTAACCTGAGTAATCAACATGTAAAGCGATTCATCTTATTAGTTGGCGAGCAATGGATGCTGATTTTATCGACTTTGCACATTTTTTATAACATCGCAATAAGACTAAGTTTGATAAAATTAATATAAAATCATTAATGTCTTCATATCCATTTAAATTAATGTTATCGGTCAAAAACATTTACTGCGAAAACAAGACAACGATGAAATAGTTTAGGGGTTTCCATTTTTCCTTCGTATTTACTTCTGGTTTTATTGGGCAAATTTTGCGAGATGAAAGTTACGGAACGAGACCAAAATATGATACTTTCGAAAATTAATTGATAATCTTATGTTCACACAGTGGAATATGATTGTAATAAAATTATTTAAGCTGCATTGGGCCTAAATATGTTAGACAAATAAGGCTCGTTAAATATGTTAGACGCATCAGGCTTCTTAAATATATGAGACACATGCATTATGTTAATAACTATATTTTGATCACTTTCTTAAGGCCAATTTTCAAGCAGAAATCGGTCAGAATTTCTTAAGGCCAATTTTCAAACAGAAATTGGTCTCGACGTACTTAAAATGGTAAGGTTTATTCAATAGAAAGCCTTAGTGTTAGTAAGTAGTAAACATCCATCACGTAGTCATGCATAGTTGAAGTAGGATTATGTCCAAGCTTATTGCATAACAGTGACTGTAACCTGAGTAATCAACATGGAAAGCTTTTCATCTTATTAGTTGGCGAGCAATAGATGCTCATTTCAATGACATTTTTATAACATCTCAATAAGACTAAGGTTGAGAATAATTAATATAAAATGAATTAGTTTAAAATATTAATATTTTATTAATATTAATATAAAATGAATTAATGTTATCAGTCAAAAACATTTACTGCGAAAATAAGACAACGAGGAAATATTAATGAGGGTTTCCATTTTTCCTTCGTATTTCCTTCCGGTTTCATTGGTCAAATTTTGCGAGATGAAAGTTATGAAACGACACCAAAACATTATACTACCGAAAATTCATTGATTATCTTATGGCTTGCATAGTGGAATATGATTGTTAAGATATTTTTCAAGCTGTATCAGGCACATATTTGCTAGACTTCTTAGGTTCAGGGTTGGGGATTTTTTTGATTTTTTTAAATCAAAAAAAATAAAAAATCAATGATTTTTTAGNTCAATTTATTGGAACCTAATACACACTAAAGGTAACAAGTTTATATACCAATTTGTCATTCATAGTACATTTAGACTAAACCATGAATAACAATACCTCAATATAAATTAAAGACTGCCACTCAATATATTTGAATATATGAAAAAATAAAAAATCGAAAAATAAAAAAAATCATGATTTTTTTATAAAAAAATCAAGTGATTTAATCACATGATTTAATCATTTTGATTTAATCATTGCCAACCCTGCTTAGGTTTGTTAAATATGTTGGACACATCAGGCCTTTTTAAATATATCAGACACATTTTGTTGATAACTAAATTTTGATCATTTTCTTAAGGCCAATTTTTCAGAAGCAGAAATCTGTCTCAGCGTATTTAGAATGGTAAGGTTTATTCTATAGAAAACCTCGTTTGTTTCTGCGTTTGAATTGCCTTTCTCTTGACAGCGTGTTCATCTCTTCTCAGATGAACATCGTTTGTTCATCTGAGAAGAGATGCCTTTGGTATAAGTCGAGAGTGGATGGTAAATAAATAGAGAGCAGACCAAAAGGTGCTTTATTATTTTATTTTACACGAAGGCTTCCAATGTTTATATTATTGCACTTTATCTTAAAATTTTTTATTTATTCTTCTGTTGATGGAACAATCCGTAGCGTGAGCACGCTGCACAGCTTGGAGCGTCCTCAGGTTCTCTTCTCAGCCCCCGAGTTCAGTGTATTCACTTCGCTTGTCATACCCACTGCAATGTAAATTTATATGATGACCTTTTTATAATTCTGCCACTAATCAAAGAAAATAAGCAATTGTTATCTAATGCATTAAATCAGACGTTTTGTAGGGTGCATATTAGTTCGATAATGGATATGTTTTGAACAACAGCTGGATTTTTTATATGAATTAAAGTATTTTAAACTATCCTTGCTATCATGAATTACTATGCTTGACGGAATGACTGTCAAGCCTCAACTGTGAGGACAAGCGGATGTACTGAGGATGACTTCGTCAGTCGTCAGTACTTCGTCAGACACTGCGGCCTTGAGGGACATATTGTTAACCGAAGAAGACATTCCAAAGTCGCCAAACATGACCATTTCGCCAGTTTTTATTTTCCGGCTATTGTCTTTTTATTGTCCGGCTAGTGAATTTACAAGGAAAAAAGCTAATTATTTTCGTAAGAAGCCCACTGATGGGTTTAATTTCTAGATTCCCCCCCCCCCAAAAAAATTGAAATTTGCAACTCTGGTTGTATCAGGGTTAAATTCATTTCCACTCTCGCTTACAAATTTGACGGATAGCCAATATATGTTAAAGCTGTCCTGCAACAACTTACCTTGCATGCTTTTAACCACAAGGGTCTATTTGGAATAGGTCGGCACACAATGCGCCTTCTCCGGTTTGGGTCTTCTTGCACTCCGAAATCTTTCTGGTCGTCCACTGCTGTTTCATCCAGGAACTGCCGAAGTGCTGGAAATTCGTCTAAAGAAAATTCGTGTACAGACAACTCGTCGACTACGAGCGCGGGAGCTTCTGCTTCATCCGCGACCACCAGCGGACTGTCCGCAACTTGGACCGGCTGTGCGAGGACAGTTTCTGCGACGATGACAGCGATGCACAGGAATGCGAGGATCGACTTGGCCATCTTTATCTTGCAGTGAAATTGTTGAGGTTCTTTGGTGTTCTTCGAGAGCAAGGAGCTTGAGTGGAACAGGTAGTGGGGCCCTCGGTTGCGTTCTGAGTAGTGCAGAGCCATCGCAGGGCTTATATACTCTCGCCGCGGCCACTCGAGTTTATGACTGCTTTCGACTGAAGATCAAATCGATAGAGTTCAAGGTGCTAAAATTTGTCGCATATTAAATTTAAAACATTTATTGGCAAACACTTGCATGGAAAAGGTATCAAGCAGCTTTCTTATGATCACCCCACATTGATGAAATAACTTGTTTAATTGGATTTGTATTTTTTTAGCTTATCTGTAAATTTTCCTAACTTGTTCAAATTTATGTCGTGGCGCACACACTGCCGCAGTTTACGCGGGGCAACCAATACACAAAATCCTTGTGTGATCTTATAGTCTTTAGTAGTATTTGCATGATACAATTGACCTATCAAGAATCCTACCTAACGAGAACCATAGAATCCTGCATTCATCAAAAACCATTAGAATAGTTCACCATAAGCACGGCAATCAGTTTGGATTAAATAAATTTCATCGAGTTTAGAGAATTTATAACTAAGCTAAGAAGAATTCAGATTTAATTTAAAGAAATAATTCTAACTAGCTGTGGCGATCGTAACAGCTTGGACTTATCCTAGGTATCAATGAGATCTGCGTTGATGTGTAGGGAGTTGTAGATATACAATTAAGCTTTCGCGTCCCATACACAACCGAGACTTGTGATAGAAAATTACGACTAAAGCTGTTGTGTTGACGCTCGTCTCAATGAATAGTTTAATAAGCTGGCCGTACAATATTGAAACTCGCATATGTACACTTCGCGGCCTACGTACACGTACGTAGCGGCCGATTTCTCGTCTTCGATTGGTGGGTTTAGCATGGAAAGCTGTCATTGATTAGTTAGCTATTGGAGTTACCGACTCCCAAGTATTATTAACTGTACGGCTATAGTAGTCTTGCATTCTGCATAACCAAGTAATGAACCGAACGTACGTACTACTTTTTCTACTTTAGTTAGGTTATAATGAGAGATCGCTGGTGGTACAAAGTGTTTCAAATATTGATGATTTCTCTCGAAAAATACAGTTTTCAAGGATCCCTATGCTTGCCTAAGGCATTTACCCTGTTGAATTTGTCCGAGACTCGTATTTTAGGCTTCAAATTAGGCCGTTTCGTGAAGTTCAATGAGAACATGTAAGTTCTAACGAATTAAAGAGACTGAGCAGTTTTCCTTCCTATTGACAGATTGCGGTTTTCTTTATGTATTGAAGAAACTAGCATTCGTCATTTTCATGTCAAATTTTGCATTGTTTTAATATCTACTATTCCCTGAGTTTTGAATTGTAAAAAATGTTACAAGATGACGTCATCGCGCCGAAGTAAAGACACTTACTCGTGGAATGCATAGCCGTCTGCAAAACCACCATCTGCACGGACAGGGCCACGGGCGTTGGGTGTCTTGCACTTCTAAAGCTTGTCTGGCGTCCAATGCAGCTTCGTTCAAGAGCCGCTGAAGTGAAGGTAATTCATCCAAAGCTTCTTTTTGTCCGGAAAACTCGTCGGCTGACAACGCCGGAGCTTCTGCTTCGTCCGCGACCACCAGCGGGCTGTCCGCAACTTGGACCGGCTGAGCGAGGACAGTTTCTGCGATGAAGACAGCGATGCACAGAAATGCGAGGATCGACTTGGTCATCTTCATCTCGCAGTGCAGTTGTTGAGGTTCTTTGATGTTCTTCGAGAGCAAGGAACTTGACTGGAACAGGTAGTGGGGCCCTCGGTTGCGTTCTGAGTAGTGCAGAGTCATCGCAGGGCTTATATACTCTCGCCGCGGCCACTCGAGTTTATGACTGTTTTCGACTGAAGATCAAATCGATAGAGTTCAAGGTGTTAAAATTTGTTGCATATTAAATTTAAAACATTTATTGGCAAACACTTGCATGGAAAAGGTATCAAGCAGCTTTGTTATGATCACCCCACATTGATGGAATAACTTGTTTAATTGGATTTGTATGTTTCTTAGCTTATCTGTAAATTTTCCAAACTTGTTCAAATTTATGCCGTGGCGCACACACTGCCGCAGTTTCCGCGGGGCAACCAATACACAAAATCCTTGTGTGATCGCATAGTCTTTGGTAGTACATGCATAATACATCTGACCTATCAAGAATCCTACCTAACTAGAACCATTGAACCTTACCTTCATCAAGAACCATTGACATAGTTCACAAAAAGCACGGAAATTAATTTGGATGAAATAAATTTCAACAAGTTAGGAAAAATTACATATAAGCTAAGAAAAATTCAGATTTAATTAAAGAAATAATTCTAACGAGGTGTGGCGATCGTAACAGCTTGGACTTATTCTAGGTATCAATGAGATCTGCGTTGATGTGTAGGGAGTTGTAGATATACAATTAAGCTTCCGCGTCCCATACACAACCGAGATTTGTGATAGAAAATTAAGACTAAAGCTGTTGTGTTGAACGTCATCAGTGTTGATGCTCGTCTCAATGAATAGTTTAATAACCTGGCCGCACAAAACTCGTATGTACACTTAGCGGCCGATTTCTCGTCTGTGATTGGTGGATTTAGCATGAAAAGCCGTCCTTGATCAGCTATTGGAGTTACCGACTCCCAGGCATTATTAATTTTACGGCTATTGTACCCTTGCATTCTGCATAACCAAGTAATGAACCGAACGTACGTACTACTTTTTCTTCTTCAGTTAGGTTATAATGAGAGATCGCTGGTGGTACAAAGTGTTTCAAATATTGATGATTTTTCCCAAAAATACAGTTTCAAGAATATCAATGCTGGTCTATATATATAAGGCAGTTACCCAATTGAATTTGTCCGAGACTCGTATTTTAGGCCTCAAATTAGGCCGTTTCGTGTAGGTCAATGAGAACATGTAAGTTCTAAAGAATTAAAGCTACTGATTTTTTATGTTTGCATCTTTCACATGAGCGATTTTACCGAGACAATTACATATTAGGTTACTATTCAATAAAATAAACATGGGTATTTTTTGTTGTAAATGAGATGAGTAGCTAACTTCAATTTCTGCAGCGAAACTCTTATCTACGAAGCACTTGACCTTTTTTGCTTAATATTGCGACCCACTTGCCTCATTTTTATTTGTTTGGGGTAATAATTTTAGCCACTCATGTCTGTAATAAAGTCAGTTTACCACTTTTTTCGTGATGCTTGTTTGACTGGAGGACCAATAATTTCATTTCCTGGAAACGTTTCCTTGTGAATTTTGCCAAAACAATTTAATAAGAAAGTTGTAAACTTTATAACACCCACTGTGGTAGGCAAAGTGATGCAGGTTCAAACTCATAGGAAATGAATGTGAAAGCTAATGCAGTATTGGCGAGACTACAATTGCTTCCATTTAGTACGTTTGCATAACTTGTTCAATCAGCCGGACCATTTTTTCGTGGCTCCCTAATTTTTTTACTCTTCACATTTGTCTACTTTATGAAAATAATTATCAATATTACCATAATCATTGTTCGAAACAATTTAATTTCTCTTCACGATGGCCTTATTGATTAAAATATTTCGGTGGATTATGATATTAACTATAATGTTCGATTTCACGCGTTATCTTGAAAGATCGCATCATGCATTGCATGCTGAGGTTGACAGTCCTGAACAATAATGCTGGATCTTCTATAAAGGAAATTATTCGCTACTTCAGGACTGATTGCAGCATCGCAACTTTCAACAAAGTTTTAAGTTACTATTTATTAAGTTTAAGTTACTATTGTAAGATAAATACTAAATTTTCTCTGGAATACATAATGTCCGCGTTATGGCCCGCTGCCAGATAAATAGTATGATGTACATGAGTGAAATATTACCCCAATTTTACTATAAACTAAATGGAGCGTATTAGTTTAATTTTATCTGAGACGTAAATCTTTTTATCGTTCTGTTGTTGATCGGTTTCAAATCATATCATGCTCAATGTTTCGTTTAATTTAACGTTTTAATCTATGTTGTCAATGAGGCATTAGATGAAATCGGTCTCCAGTACCAGGATAACGTTGAAATTGGTCTACAGATTTAGTTGAGAAGAAACCTCTGGTCAATAAAAACTTTTTTGATCAATATGACCCATTTATTCTTCTGAGTTCATCATTTCAATTATCGAACCTCAAAATTCCTCCCAGTTTGAACCGGTTCAAACGACAAATGTCGAAAACTTCGTAAGTTGAGAACATTAATGTAAAGGGACAAAAGCATTAATACGTAACCAACAGGGTTGCAACCCACACTGGTTTTATTAAAAAACTCATGGTTTTATTAAAAAAAACGGACAAAATGGGTACTAAGCGTTTTATAGCTTGTTTCACTTATATAATTCATTCTTATCTTCAAAATCTTTATAATTTAAGTTGATTATTAAAAATTTAATGCTATAGATTGAGTATCAACTTCTATAATAACATTTGCCATAACTTTCAATCCAATAATTATCAATTTATTAAACGGGGTTAAAGGATGATGCATCATTAACTTGATATATCATTAAAGCAGTGACACATCTCTGTCAGACTACAAATTATTAAGAAAAATATGTATTGAAACAATTAACCCAGTTCCAGGCTGTTTTCTTCTTACCCAAAACTCAAATAGAGTAAGCTTGTATAGGTTTCTTCCTTATAATTATTATATAATTAGACTAATCACTTTGGAATCTGTACCAATCCTTTAGGCTTCTGCTATTGTAAGTGCTCAAAAATTGACTGCATTGTATTGCTAATTGCTTTTTAACTAGGAAGCTAAATTGTGCAAAATAAAAAAAATCACATGTTCATAATAACCTAGTATTGTAAAAGTAGTAAAATAACCTCTTGCAAAAAATTCTCTCTTATTATGTCTTCAAAAATTTATATACCTAGAGGGTTTGATCTTCTTTTTTATTATCAGCCTTTCTTTTGTCTAGTATTTTAAGATTTGAATTCTTTTAAGGAGCCAAAATATTAAGGGGTTAAGACAAAACAGATAAAAGTCTATGTACTTTGCTCCCCTT